GCTTATCTGAAGGATGAATGCTTCAAATCCCTTCAGTTTTAAGGCAAGCTTTGTAACCCACAGCCCACCCTGCCACCAGCTACTGCCATTAGATGGGCAGCCATATTGTGTGAGATTAGTGGGTACTGTTTTATCACAGGTGACATTTACAATGACAGGTGCAGCAGTACAGTGCGGTATATACAGTTTGTTGTGTACACAGTCTGGTCTACAGTTGTGAAAGCCATACACCCTTGCTACTTAACATTTCCACAATGCTTACTAGTTTTTCAAATCTCCCCCTTTCTATTCAACAAAGTAGTGTTGTTGAATGGGGATGTGTGTATTAGTAGATAAAGAAGGGAACAAATTAAGTTGGAGGGTGAGGGGAAAAATGAGAGCAATTTAGTCATTATTTACTTGGTCAGCATTTTTTCACCTGCATACATCTCAGTGAAAAAACTTAGAAACATTTGTGTAACAGACACAGGCAAACAACGCTTCAGATAAGTTTTTGTCTCATTTCACAGTAGGTCTTAATAGGATAAGCAGCTGGATGATATACAGCCCTGCTGTGTACTATATTCAGCCTTATGCATCTTTACCATTTTTAATTACCTCTACAACCATTCTTCATTCTTAGGATCATCTTTCTTGTTATTACTGTCCTCATCTGCGATGGTGTGATCAAAGCAAGCATAAAGAATTTTGGATAATCAACATTTTCCAGCTTCTGTGGGTCGGGTCACGGAGGTCAGACTAAAGCCCTGTTTTTTTTTATTACTACTTGGCACATCCATTGAGTCTACTGATCCATGGAGAGTCCCCAGGCTCTAGGTTTTCTGTGCTCTCCAACAATTTAGCTTCATTAGGAGCCCAAGTATACTTCAGGGCTCATTGACTGCCTGCCTCAGGGTGAGTTTTTGTTTTCCCAGATCTTGTGTATCTCCAAATCTGTTTCCCTCTTCTAATTAAGTTTTTATATGATAATAAAGTGGATCTCGTCCTGGCCCTTGAGGTTGGAAACAATCTCCATAACCTCTTTAATAGTTTCATAAAAATAAAATGAGCCTTTAAATCTTTTTTACAAATAAAAATAGCACATTTTCCCAGATACAATTGGGGCAATACTTACCTTGTGTTCTATTGGGTTTGTAGTTTCCTGGCATGTTGCTGTTTTTACTAAAAGTTTCATGATGGTAACAATCAGCTGTACCCATGCTTACTTGCCCCCCTCTGCCCTCCCACTTTCTGCTGCAACACGCCCTGCCATATTTTAATGTTTCCGTCTGTCAAGTGGTGTCTAGATGAGATGTTGGCTGGATATTATTTTGCTGGGGAGGGTGAGCCGCTGTGTTTCCAGTAATTGAACACAAGGCTCTCAGTACAGCTCAGGAAATAATAGGGCCAGAATGTAATACACCAAGCATGGCACAAAAGAAAATATTTTCATCTCTCTCTGTCTACCATTTTTTGTTTGTTTAATCTCCCTGCTTTTGTTTCCCTTATTCCCAAACTTGGTGCTGTACCTGCCATTTTCTACTCACTTTTATTCAGCACTGTGGTTTCATTTAACACCTCTGCCACTCTACAGCTCTTCTCTTCTCGAGTCAGCAGAATGAATCATTGACCTGTAATGACATTATGAGAGGTTTGTGGAGTCATCTTGAGGTGCGAGTGATTACATTGATTTAGCTGACGCTTTTATCCAAAGCGACTTACAATAAGTACATTCAACCAAGTATCAACTTCATCAAATTTGCTCAACTGCATCAAATGCTACAATAAGAAAAATAATAAACAATAAGACATAGAAGCATTTTGTTTTTTTATATTTATTTTTTTAGACCTGTATTTTTAGGAGCCAAAGTGCAGTCTGAAGTCTAAGTTTTCAGTCTGCAGCGGAAGATGTGTAAAGTTTCTGTTGTCATGATGTTGATGGGGGCTCTATCCACCATTGTGGAGCCAGGACAGCAAACAGTCATGATTGTGTTTAAGCGATAGCTGGGCCCCCTGGTAGTGAGGAGGGAGTAAGTAAAAAGCTAGGTGGCAGTAGTAGAGCCAGAGCCATTTTATAGAGGAGACACGCCACTCAATCACATCCTTAATGTAACTCTATGGGGAAAGCCCATAACGGCAAAGTTGTCGGTTATCCCACCCCACGCCAATCGTGTGGTTCCACTGACGTAAGGGTCTGTTTTAACTCTACTGCGCATGCGTGTAGTAGTAGTATAGTGTGGTAGTAGTGACGCATGCGTAGTAGAAGTATAATCGGTCTGGAAAAATGCTTTTTAAACCTTATTTTGGGGCAAAGTTGTCAAACTGTTTCGGCGATTTTACTGCTGATTCTGCCTCTGGCATAGTACAAAATCGGAAACACTGGTACCACATTAACCTGCCATATTTTACTCACTATCATATTTTAGAGTTTCTTTGTTGCAAATTTACAAACCCATGGGACACCAAACAAAGGCCACTCCACTGTACACTCATGATGTGTGTGTTTTTCCAATTGGGAGATTACAGTGATGTATCATTTAAACATTTTCAGCCCAGTTGCTGCCTTTCTGCCTCCGTTTTTTGCTTTAAAGGTCCAGTGTTTAATATTTCTGAGGTGAGATGTATTGACAGAAATGCAATATAAGATCCATAACTATGTTTTCAGTGGTGTAGAAAGTTGCATCGTCATTTTCTACAGTAGCGACAGTAGCTGAAAACGGACAGTGCTACAGAGTGCGTTTCATCACTACATTCTTGTTCTACTTCTGGTAGAATTCAGGCAGTGTAGACACTCTTCACTATGTTGTATACGTACATTAGAAGAAGTAGTAGTTATACAGCAGGGGTTGGCAAATAAGTTTTGCATCAGAGCAATGTTTTGAACCGTTAGATGGTGGGTAAGAATACAAGACATAATATTGACCTCTGTAAACATGGTTTTCACTTAGCTCAGTTTGTGAAGTGCAGGTCTCATACCCTGGGGGTTGAGAGTTCAAGCCTACCCTGTGACAACTTTTTTTTCTCTCTTTTGATCAAATTGATTATTCAGCAACTGTTTCTCACATTACAGCATTTGCTGCAGTGTTTGTGTTTTGGTGTTTGATCTGCATCCATCAACCTATGGACGCTTTATCATTTCTCTGTATATCTAGGCAGAGAACATTTAAGGGGAATCGTGTTTTCTGACGGCTCTTTCAGAGGTGTGTCAAGCAGGCAGCAGACTCTTTTAATGTTTCAAAGTTTTAAATTCAAAGTAAAAGCTCAGTTCAACTCCAACTACAGCATTACACTATATAAGCTTCTTCCGCTTTTATTTTGTTGGCAAAACCACTAAAGAGGAAGTGATTATGTGAGTAACTGTTGGTGACATGACTGAGATCTATTTCAGCACCGTTATCAAAGTATTTATTTATATTTTTTGCCGCTATCAAAGCACCATAATCTGACTGTGGGCCAGATATTATTGCTGGCGGGCAGTTTTGGCAAGGGTCCATAATCATAGAGAGAATAACATGTTTCCCTTATCAATGTTTGTATAAACAAACAACAACAAAATTGTCCTTTTATTGTGGCCAGCCTAAGGCACACCTGTGCTATACCCATGCTGTCTGATCAACATCTTGATATGCCACACCTGTGAGGTGGATGGATTATCTCGGCAAAGGAGAATTGCTCAGTAACACAGATTTTGACAGATTTGTGAACATTGTTTGAGAGAAATAGGCCTTTTGTGTACATAGAGAAAGTCTTAGATCTTTGAGTTCAGCTCATGATGAAAGGGGGCAAAACCAAAAGTGTTGCGTTTATAATTTTGTTCAGTGTATAATGTGGTTAATAATGGACTGTGGTGCAGTAACACACTCTTGGCTTACATGTTCCATGTTATCTGTCAGTGGCCAAGTCGCAATAACATGGTTTTACTAAATAATTAAGTAAATATAATTTCTTAATAAATATACCTAAAGAAACCTCATTTCTTGGCTGGATACTCTCTGCTGTCTCAGAATAGACACCTTTTGAGCTGTGTCAGCCACCGTAGCTGTCCTACACTCTTTGAAAGGGTAGGGAGCAGTGGTAGACTTGAAAGTTAGTTGCAATTCACAACCTCATCACTAGGTGACACTAAATCTTACACACTGAACCTTTAAAAGTGACCAAATGCTGCATTTTAAACTAAGTGTGTGTGTGTTTTTTGTTTTTGTTTGTTTTTTTGTTTCTGTATCAAATTGCTGTGAAACAAATAACAGTAGCTACTTTTGGTGCATACTAACAGTCTGGTAACAGGTGTTGTTTTCAGCTCAGATTAGCTAATGAACCTGACTATATTTACCTGCCATACACATAGTGCTTTTTTCACTCCACACTGCAGTAATATTAGCATTCAAAAATCACTCTCATTAGTAAATACAGTTTTCATTCTATACGCTGGCTGAATGTAGCTTTATTAATGGCTTTTCCTCCATATTGCAGATCTGATTTAATTAGGGTGAAATCATGTTATGTGAGGTATATTATAATTAATGCTATTTGCACCCATTTCAAATGCACAACTGGAGGATATTAATAATGTTACACATTCTTCAGTTCATAACACACTGGTCATACATATGAATCTAATGATATATGAGTTGTAAAACTTGACAGATTCTTTTTATAAATGCATACAATTGAAGCTTGAGGACCATTTCTCTGTAAAGTGTAATTCCTGCTGCTACTCTCCCCTGTTGTTTCTTTGGCATTGACTTCCATGCTGTTTTTTGGGCATCTGTTTGCCGCAGACTGTTACCACCTCTTTTGATTGCTCACTGTAAAGTTTCAGTCAAGAATCTATGAAGTGTAACTAAAAGATTCATCTGTAGTGCCTGATACATATGCAGGCAAACAGCAGTATTCCACCACTGTGGAGGATTTGGCTTGTCTTTTTGCTGTCAAACATCGAGTCAGCTTCATCTCCTACCTGCAGATGTCCTCTGCTCTTAACACACAGTCATCTCTTCCTTCTCTGCTTGCGTTTCTCCCAGTGTACCTGTCGTAAGGACATGGTGAAGATCTCCATGGACGTGTTTGTGCGCTGCCTGCAGCCGGATCGCTACGAGCTATGGAAACAGGGAAAAGACATCACGATGTTGGACCACCTTAAGGCCACTGAGCTCAGCAGTCCTGAACTAGAGACCTGGAGGCAGCAGCGTGTAACCCACCGAGCAAACCTCCTGCGAAGGTAAGAGGTCAAACTACAAAAATGTATTTGGTTTTGATACACAGGTTACATGTGTGTAAGCCTTACAGTAATGTAAATATCCAAATCTGCACATTAGTAATCTGAATGCATTTGAAAGATGTCTTGTTTCTCTGTATATTAAAGCTGGAGGGTGAGACTTTTTTACATATAAATGAACGGTGAATGATCTGTTACATTCAAGCCCTTGCCAAATGAGTTCACACAATGCTGATTAAGCCTATCAGCGCCCCATAAATCTGTCTATATTCACAGTATACCGAAGTTTTTGAATTAAACCTGTAGTGATGTGTTTTATGCCAACCAGCAATAAGTGGTTTGTTAGAGCTGAAGGTGGGAGCAACGTATCGACAGCAGCAACTCAGTATGGCAGAGCCTATATGTGATAAGCGCGCATTGACTTTGTTGTGTAATAATAATAATAATAATAATAATCATCTTTATTTGTAGAGCACTTTTCAAAAACAAGCTACAAAGTGCTTTAACAAGTGTAAAGATAATAATACCCAAGAGACAATAATACAAAAACATTACAGTAATTACTGTAATTAGTGTAATTACTCTCACTGTCAGAAGGGGGAGACAAAAGTTCTGCACTGCAGGAGTAACTTCTGCTCTCAAATGGATGTTTTCTTTTGTTGTTTTCGTTTATGTGTGTGTGCGTGTGTGTGCGTGTGTGGGTGCGTGTGTGTGTGTGGGTGGGGGTTCTGGGTCCTTGATAAGTCACTGGGACTTTTAATTTATGAAAGACGCCGCTATATTTTTCACTTCTCCAGGACTGTGCTAGCGTGGCCTATAAACAGCACAAGCCTTTTGCTGTCTCACTTTACTGAACTAAAGTGACTGTAAACCTGGAAATAGCTGAAGCTACTTAGGAGCAAGAAACCCCTTGTCCACGGATGAAAGAATTGCCGTGCTAAAACACACCGATTTTAAATAAAAATTGATAAGTGGACCATTTGGGAATGATACCACTTCACCACAGCCTCAAAACAGTGGACAAGAGGATGCAAACACACAACAAACTAACACCAAAAAGACTACCAAGAAACAGGAGGGTTGTCTGTCTGGCAAGAAATCTGTAAGTAGTAATCCTAAGATTTGCGACGCTGTTGGCGAGGCAGAGTGCCTCATCAACTGCTGTGCTTAGTAGGACACAGTCGTGGAAAACTGGAAAAAGGATGAGTTAGCAACAAAACTCAAATAACAAATTGTACAACTTGAGAACAGATTTGCACCACTGCTGCAGGATCCTGGATCTTCTTCTGATGAGCTGCTTAACCTCTCTGACTGAGAATAATTCTGAAAGCAAAAGGGCTACAGAGAAATCTGACTGGGCCTCAAACCCTGATAGTGGGTGATTTTGCTATTTAAAGATGTAAAAGGCATGAGCATTAAGAACACCAAAATATATTGCTTTCCCAAGGATATGGTCTGTGACATGACAAAATGAATTGCACGTATTCTGGCTGCACACCCAATTGTGAAGAACATCATAGGGACCAGTGACTTTGTGAAACAGCAATCAGAGATCCTGAATAGGACTGGACCGATCCATGGAACACACTCAGCTCCTTAAATACTGAGGTGTTGGCCCTCTACCACCAGTCAGAAGAGGAGTTGAGAGATTGTTGGCTTTCAAATGCATGTATTGTCCATTCAGTGCACCTTATTGACAGTTTAGCTTTCTGGGACTGCAGACTATCTTTTTAGGGCAGATGGACTTTGCCTCAACAAGTTAGGAGTAAAATTGTTCACCTCTAGCCTGTTTTACTTCCTGCATCGCCAGATGAAAGATCTGGTCACTGCTGGGACCCCCGCTCAACTCCTGGTTTATCTCCCCTAACAGATATTGTGTTCATGCTTTTATTGCACACAATCTCACTGTAGTAGACAGCAACTGCTCTGTTGCTGCCATGACCTTAGTCTTCCGTAAAATACAGCTCACATAGAAGTGAGCACACAACTGCTGTTCTTAAATCTTTACACTAGCTTCCAGTTGCGTGTAGAATAGATTAGAAGTGATGGATGTACCTTGAGTCAACTTCCTGATCTCAAATGCACAAATTTAACCACCTTCAAATCTAAATGAAAAACTCTGTTCGCCTGTGCCTTTGATTGATTTGTTTCTCTACTGCACTTTTATTTCCTTCGTTGCATTTGGGGCAGTTTACAACTTGCTTACAACTTACTATAAAAATTTCATCTTAATTGATTGTCTTTTATTTGTTATTGTCTTGAATATCATTCTAATGCTTTTCTCTTCCAATGTCAAGCACTGAATTGAGTTTGATCTGTGCTTTAAATAACTGTGCATATAAATAACATATTGAGTTTTTATATATATATATATATATAATGTGAATTTAATTATATACTTGTTTTTGTTCCCGACCCCAGGGCCATGCAGAAGATGAAGCAGTTTCGTCGTCTAAAGCTGGAGGAGGTGAAGGTGCTAGCAGAGGATGGCATTGAGCTTAATGCTGCCGAGTACCAACGACAGGTGGAGGAGCGTGAGGCTCAACGGAGGCAGGAGAGAGAGGAACGTTTAGCCCGAGAGGCCATGATGACCCTGGAGGCCATGGAGCGCGAGGAGCAGGAAGCCGCCGAGGCTGCTGCTAAAGCAGCAGAGACTCCAACTGTAGAGGGTGAGGCAGAGTGAGCAGTAAGAGATTGGACTTTGTTTATGTTGTTTATGAAACAGAAAAGTAATGGGTTTAATTCCAGAGCACGCACTAGTTTAATGTGAATATGATCAAAACCAACACAGTTGTATGCATTAGACGTGTTTTTCCAGATTTTCCCTTTCTTCAGCTGCAGTATGAAATATGGATAACTCAACTCAGCATGATTAAAACATTCCAAATTCATTCCAAAATTCACCATGTCTATCACCTCTTCAAAGCTTTTGATGAGCCATCACTACTCTTCTGAGGTTTCTTTCCTCTTTGCTAGCTCAAAAACCTGAGGCCAAACCACAGAATTTGACAGAGGACATGGAGAAAAAGAAGCAGAAAAAGCCGAAGAAGTCAAATATCCACAGCGCCATCACTGGGTTTGAGCAAGCGTTTGAGCAGTTTGCTACATCCGGCATCAAGAATTCAAAAACGGCCATGGTCAGTCATCCAGGGAGCTCTCTTACCCCAAGACAGAGTGACGTCCCAGCAGTGGATGTGAGTGCCACCCAGGTGAGATTTTCAGCTCAAAGTCGAGTTAAGTTATAACAGGCCAAAACACTTTGATTGTTCTTAATCCACAGTTGCTGGTATGTTACATTAAAAATATGTAGCTGGCTTATCTGAAAATAGAATTCAACTTCCAAATTTGGTTATCTGGTACAGTTGCAAGTAAAGCAGGTTAATTTAATGCGTGAAAAATTCACCAACAGTTGCTGATATCAGTTTAATGCAAAAATTGTACTACGTGTAGAAAACCAAATATGTGAAAACATACAGCTGTGCTAGTAACATTTCTAGGGCTGTCCCCGACTAAGGATTTACATAGTCGAATCAGAATCGTCAAGTCCTGCCTGTAGTCGACTGATAGTCGAATCGTGTGTATTTTTGTGCACAGCTATTGCGAGGGGGAGACGGGTGTTATACACGGTAGCTCCGCTTTAATCTTGAGAAGCTGCAGAGCTGCAGTGTCTTTTCATTGAACTTACACTGTAAATTTCCAGCTAAACTGAGGCTTTTTGAAGACCCTTTTCTCTCTCTCTCTCTTGCCTGTCATTCACCAGTCTCCTACAGAGTTTTACGTGCATTACTGCTGCCGACAACTGCATGCACGTCACGGTTCCCTGCGGGTGTATTTCTAATAGTCGGCTATTTAAAAATGATAAAATATTCTTTATGTGGTTCATCTACGGTGATAAATTAGTCGCGCAAGGTGCGAACAACTCTGCACAACACCGTGAAGCTGGGGCTTGGTCTCTTCAGCAAGCGTTCCTCCACTGCCACTGCATACATACACGCTACGCTTACACATGTGCACTGACGACCCAGGGTTAGGGTTACAATTTTGGATTCATTCACGCACTTCAAAAACATTTATTGAAAGTTTTATTGTTTTTACATATTTATTTACAGTATTAAATGTTGAAATGTATATTGTAATAGGCTGTATATTAATTTATCGGGAGAAAACTGGTAGTTCTATGTAAAATCAGACGTTGCGCACCCCCATATAGCCAAAATGGCATGATCCTTGTTTCACTGCGATGCTTCGACTGTGAGATTGACAGTCGAATCAGGGGTCAGCCCTAAACATTTCTATAATATAATTTCCATAAAGTACTTTCCCACAGCAAAACAACAATTTGTAATTCTACCAATTATGCTGCTACATATTACAAAGTTAAAGCACTTTGTTTTATGTTGTCTTTCTCTATGTGTGTGTGTGTGTGTGTGTATATGTATATATACACATTATTATTTTTTTTAACATTTGTTGTTCACTCTTGTGTTTTATCAGCCATCCTACTCCAAGATGAAGATGCCAACAGAAGTAAAAAAGAGTCGCCGTCACCCCCTCAGCAAGCCGCCCATGCGCTCCCCTCTGTCCATCGTCAAGCAAGAACCAACAAGCGACCAAGGTGTGTGGCTTTGAGTGTATTTTATTGTAAATGTATTCTTATTTTAAACTCAGCACTGTTTGGATGGACAGTGGTGTAAATACTATTTTAATTTCTCCATGACATGAATAAAAATGGGGTCATAACTCCCAATAAAACTGTTACCTTTAAAGATTATTCACACAAATTTACCAAAACATGATTTGCAAGAAACCCATGTAAGTTGAAAGCTGACACTGACTATTATTCATCTGTCGCCGTCCTTTTTTTCCTCTGTCCCCCTCAATAGTAATCCCACTGATTGCCCTCTCCATCATGGTACTTAAATTGAAGAAGACATAATTTTTATTTTGATTATCGATCTGGAGAAAGAAAAACAAACGGGACTAAAGCTCCCTGTGGGGACACTGAAATCAAGACTCCAAGGCCTCTTTTCACTCCCCTCCCTTCCGTCTTTTTCTTTTCATTTTCTGACTGACACTTATTGATCCGGGGATCATGACTTCCAATTACCTACTTTCAAAGTCACTTTCAGTCAGCAGCAGGGGACCCGACTCAGGGCCTGTCCTTCAGAAGCATGGAGGGGGGTATAAGGAGAAAGAGCGAGCTGGAGGAGGGAGAAAAGAGTGTTAAATTGCAAGCTTGTGAAGAGTTCTACCTGACTTCTGTCCAGGGTTAGCAAACAGTCTGGATAAGTAGCTTCAGGGGCTTCAGTGCAAAATTGATTTCAGACCCTCAACAGCAAGTTGTTGATGTCTGTGCTATTTGTGCTCATCGGCCAATTATATCAGGAGTGGTGGTGTTATTGTCTGGAACAGACGGTGCTATTTTTGTCTCAAGGCAAAGGCTCCCTTATTAAAGAGATCTTTGGGCTTTTCCAAAAATACTTCACCTGCATTTCAGAGAAAACTGAAATCATTACCAATAATAGATCTTCCAACATCTCTTCAGCATGTGTCACTTACTTCAGATTGTGGATGCCTTCTTTTTGGAGCAGCACATCATTAATGCGTGTTGTTTTCTTTATAACCCGCAGAGCTGTCCTCACCCATGCCGCTGGACAGCAGCATGAAGAAACAAGAGCACCTGTGGCAGAATCACTCTCCCAACTTCCTGGCAGAGAAGGCCTTCAATTCTGCAGTGGCAGCACTCAAACCACACTGTGCTATCTGTTCACTCTTCTGTCCCTACACAAAGGTACAGCCACACACTCCAGCAGAAGCACATAACACATGTAGTAGGTGTAGCTGCAGGTTAGTGGTAGTGTTATTGATGTAGTCAGTAGTTTGAGTAGCGGTAGTTCAGGTGTAACAAATTTGTTTGTATAGCTAACTATCAGAACTACTAATGAAAATTGTGGGCCATAATTACAAAGGAAGGAATGTTTTTTAATTCCATCCTCTTTCCATTCATCCCAGCTATTGTAAAGGCTGACCAAAAATCTACATTGATTCAATCCATTAACTGTATTACCTTCTTTCCTCTGGCTATTCCAGCAAAACAAAGACGTCTTAATTGTGAATGAAACCAATCGCACCTCCTTTCCCCGTCATGGCAGTCGGACTAGTCCACTGGTCCCAGAGATGTGCTTCAGCGCAGGCAACACTGAGCCTTCACCCACCAACCATCACATTGGAGAGGATGGGACCAGTCTTCTGCTCTGCTGTTCATCTTGCCAGATGCAGGTTCATGCCAGTAAGTAGAAAACCCTCAGTACAGCAAGAAAAGATGCTGGCTGTATGAGAGTAACGTTGGGGCCAAATATAATGTGTTGAGGCCTTTTTGCGTAATGACACCTGGGGGAAGTTGCACAAGTAAAAAGGTGGGCTTTCCCAGCATATGTTAATGTTGTTGTTTAAGATGAGCAACAAAAATAAATTTGAGCACAACACAGTATTTGAATGCTGTTAATGAAATGAATGAAAAGTCAACACTCTTGCAGGAAGCTTTCTCGCAAAGAGACTTTAATTACAGCTTTTACATTGAAGCAGCTCAAGGAAGTGTGATTACAGTCACTGAGAGCAGCCTCAGGTTCAGAAATTATATTTAAAATGAATGGCACCAAATGTAAAACTTTACTATGTAATTAACGTACATAGGTGGGCAGTACATACGGATGTGAAATAGGGGTGTGTAAAACATTATGTTGTGGATTTAAAAACGTGTTTTTTGCTTCTTGTTTATTGTTGTAGAAAAGTTATGTTTGATTCGGTTCAGCTGGGAGACTAGTAGCTGTGGGCGCGATGCAGGATTTGATCTGTAACACTCTGAATCTTGGTCTCAGCCAACTACAAGCCCATACATGTACTGACAAGCTTTACAGACAGACTCTACCGGACATTTTACAAGTCTTCTTTGTTCACAACTTTTTTTTAAATCCCTGGATCCCTGAGAATAGTGTTGGAAAAATATGAAGCACAGAAGATGACTCCGCTACAGCAGTGCAATAACCTGTCAGCTCATTTCCCCTTTTGCCATGCTCAGTGAGACTTCTTACTTTAACTCTCCTTGTCTTGGGTTAAACTGGCTAAGAGGCTGCTCAACCAATGCAAAGGCAGCCAAAGCTCTTAAAAACACACCACTTTTTACTAAGAATGATCTCTTTTAAGGGCAGATGGCTTCTGTCAAAGCAAACCGTGAATGGTGGCTTGTTGACTTTGTGTATGAGTGAATTGGCCCTGGAACCTCAAGTCAGTTTTATTTATATAGCCCAATATAACAAATCACAAAGGAGTGACAAAGGGTGTTTGAAAAAGTTTTAGAACCACTGATTTAGTGACATGTTTAAAAAAATAAAGTTTGATGATAAGATCAATATAGCTTTTTGAAATGTCTACACGTGTGGATGTTTTGTGTCAGGCAGCACATACAGCAAGATAAATTACAGCACGGACGTGTGCACATGTGCTCAGTAAGTAACACACATACACACCAACCCTCCTGGGTTCTTATTATCCCAAAGCTGGAGAGCACCTTCAAAAGGCCAGTTCATTAGTCATCCAGGGATGAGCTGGGCTCAGCTGGGGAAGCAGCGCTGCTATTGATAAGAGGACATGAAGCAGAAAGAACTCCTGTCCAGCTCTGCACTCCATCCCTTTGCTCCTCATTGTTTTAAAATGGGCATTCAACTAAAAATCATTCAGACCTGCCTAGGTGTTACATAAGCGTGCAAGCCTTTTGGTTCAGAAGCTCAAATTGGAGATAGTGAAGAGAGGATTGGGCAAGTTATATAGACAGTGCTAACAAACTGGTTAACAAGTAGGTTTGGTTTTGTCAAGTGCCCAAAAACTTAGCAATTATAACAATTTGGAAGTATTTAATATTGAGTTCATGCCAGAGCTTGACTCCATGGAGCCCATCCTTACTGAACATTAATACACTTGTGCATATAGAAGGTGCTTTGGAAACATTAAATGCCAAAAATGCTATAGAAAAGATATATTAAGCCATTAATCTCTCCTCTCTTATAGGTTGCTACGGTGTAAAGCCAGATTCTGTCGGTGAATCCTGGATGTGTTCCAGGTGTGAAGCAGGAGCCTGGACAGTGGTGAGTAACAACAGTACCTTATGCAAAAACATATGGTTCCAACACAAGTCGAGAAAACTGTTCCTACAGTAGTACTAGAATTAGCAGTCTTTTAGTAGGTGAAAATGAAAATCACTTGGACATGGAGCCTTCATGCTTTTGTGTCCTCCATTTCTTCATAAATAGTAAAATCTTCTGTTTTAAAGATTAGATGCTCATGCTCCCCAGCACCTATTACAGTAATTGTCTAGAAAAGGTCTGAATTGGTCGTGGTATGAGAGTTCAGAAGATCTGTGTGACTGTGTCTTCTGTTTCCCCCACTGCCTAACTTTAATCCTCATTTGCTCTCTGTTTTTCAGGAGTGTTGTCTCTGTAATTTGCGTGGTGGTGCTTTGAAGACTACCACAGACAACCGGTTAGTGGCATATGCTTGGGTTTTATTGTGGCATGTGTTTCTTTGCCGGGGCAAAATTTGCTAAGAATATCACAAATAACAAAACCTCTAGTGGCATATTAAAACGTCATCCCACAGTTAAAAATTAAAAAACCCACTATGACAAAAATATTCACATTTGAATGAATTGCATTTCCTGAGGATTTCTCTTATATAGTCAGAGTTTTCTTATAGTTGTAGCACTTCTTATGGCTTAGAGGGCATTCAATAGATTCTAGTGAATTACCTTAATTTTGGTAAAAGGAAGTAGTGCATTCACACTCACTTCTGGCAACCAGAGAAATCAATATTCACATTAAATAACTTAATTTAACTCACCGCTCTCCAAAAAGGAAATAATAGCCAATTAAGTAATTTATTCTCAATCTGAAGCTTGCTACCATACATTTCATACACACAAACTACATAATCAAGTTCTTTATAAATAAAAAGTTTATTATGATATGAAAATTTGACCATAACACCTGTATCTAGGTTACAGTTTAAAATATCCACCCTGTAGGTTCAACCTAGTTTTGCAGATTGCTGTTTGAAAGGGGTTTGTAAAGCAAGCGCGTGAAAGAGTTAACAACAGCATTCGGAAGTTATCAGTGTCGTATGTCTAGTAGTGCTACCTACCTCTGTTAAGATCTTCAGAAACCTAACATTTTTTTCATGGCATCTCGCTTTCTGTAACCAGGTGGGTCCATGTCATCTGTGCCATCGCTGTGGCTGAAGCTCGCTTCATCAACGCCATTGAGAGGGAGCCAGTGGATGTCAGTGCTGTTCCTGAAACACGCAAAAATCTGGTAAGATCACGCAGAGACGAAGTAAAAGTTTATTCATCTCTGTCATGAAATGGTGTGATCTCAGACAGGTTAACATTTAAACACAAGCACGACCATCTTTATAATCAACCATCTTCATGTCTGTCTCTGAAGAAAGTTACTGACTGTTACTCACTGCAGCCATGGAATTCTCTCTTCCTCCCTGATCTCCTTCTCCACTCCTACGGTCTTTCCTGCTCACCGCCTCTATGTCTGTCACTCTCTGCCCTCCCTCCTTCCCTGGTGGATGGATATATTGTGTTTTTGCTAGCTGTGGAGGACATGGGGTAAAACATACGTGCTGGGGGGGGGGGATTGGTTGAAGAATCATCTGCCATTTCTCACTGCGCCAAATGAACTGAATCGATCCCGTGGGCAGGAGGCAATTTCCCCATTGCTGCCGCGTCTTTGAACACAACTTGTCCCCTTCCTCCCTTTCTTTCTCTCCATCCCTCCTTCCCAGTCTCTGCTCCCCTTCCATTCACCTGATTCCACTTCACAGGCAAAGGCATTGCTTGCTGTGCACTATCACAAATCTACAAATAATGTCACCTCTCTCCCTTCCCTTCTCTCAGAATAATCTATCAAGGAGAAGCAGGGTGACATTTGCATCCGAGTGCTGTCAAAGCAGTCTCTTCTTAAAAGGCCATGAGAAGAAGCTCTGCAGTCTAATGATTCGGATGACTGGGCTGATAAAATGTGAACACGCACCTTTAGAACCAGTTGAAATTGCACCGCGTTCAGCAATCTGTGTTTTCTTTCTCCATCCTTGAACATTTGGTTTTCAGGGATGGAGAAATTTCACACAAGCTGCTTTTTGTCTTAGTTGCCTCAGAATTTCTCAGCACAGTAACACTGTGCCTTCCTCAAAAGACGTACCTTTCCCAAAGGTAGTGTTGCATCTTGTACCTAGAAGTACTGCGATTTCTGCCTGTGTGAGAAAACAACTTCAAGCTTGGAAAAGCAAGCTGCTTAAATAAATCATCAGACAATCTTTAAAACCGTGTTCCAGCTACCATTCCAGGTCCATTCTTGTATTAAAAACACACAAACCAGAACATTTATTTTATCAGTTATTATATTAACTGCTGGTCTAATTTTGGAGTTTGCAGTGTGCTTCAGGTGATAGATTTAGTGTGCATTGGCATGCAATGTTTTTGGTTTTTTTTATGCTGTCAGTGGCCAGAATCAAAATCAACTATTTTGTAATCCCACAAATGGAGCCTTAAATAAATGTAGGTTTTGTTTGGTTTCTTGTAAAGAGTTACTGATTTTGATTTGGAGATTACATATACATAGATAAACAGCAAGGTGGAATGAGGTTTAAACAAACAGATGGACATATAGCTATTGTTTCTTGGTGCTACATTTTTTTATTCATGCTGCTCTGGTGTCATGTCACCGCCTGCCTGTGATTTCGGCATTGGAATGGTACACCAAGCGGGGGAACTATAAACCATTCCAGCTGGAGAAATATCACACATCACAGCTCTGTTGAGAACTGTTGTACATTTTTCCTGCACCAGTACAAAAATGAAGTATTGGCACTTTAATAAAGAATTTTTATTTTTTATTGATCTGCCTCGTGGTGGGCTACAGCTGCTCGAAGTGTGATTTGTCAAGGGGGGGTGGGGGGGTGAGTGAAGAAGAAAAGGATGAGAGAGCATGAGGGATTGGGACAATATAGTGTGTGTGATAATGGATAATCACAATAAACAAGTACACAGAAAGATACAGTCTCATAAGATGAGATAGGTTTAGTCTATATGTCAGATCAAAAAGAAGTTAAATGTATATATTTCCACTCTCATTAAATGTATGTGTTGACAGGTGATATATAATAGATAAATGTTTTCATCAGGATTTTGAAGGGAGGTAATGTTTCTGAAAGACCTACCCCGGTGTATTGAGAAGATAATTCAATTTGACGGGCCAAATTCCCACTCATGTCGTTATTCTCTTTGCTTTTTCCAACTCGCCTTTTCATCTCTCTCTCCCTTGTTCCCTCCATTTTAACTGAATTGCAGGACAAATGAGGGATGGGGAAGGAAAGTGTAATGACAAAGGGACAAAGTGGACATGGGAGGGTTGAAGGATCCGAAGTGAATAAAAAATGAAGAATGAAGGTTGTGGGGTCGCGTGTGTGCTAGCTGGTACATGCCAAAAGTCTGAAGACTAGACCAGGTTCCCGGGCGAAGGCGAAGATTTGGTTTGCTGGTGGTAGTTTCACGCTTAGGATGTGGGGATGAAATGAAAGGGGTTTGAAAAGGAAAGAGCTCCAAGGGAGAAAACCCAATTCCTTGTATGATTGTCTTGAAGAAGAGTCTTGAGTTGAAAAAGTGATGCAAGACACCAATGCAGGGAAAAAGAAAGGGGGGAAGAACATGTTGTTGAATGTCATTGTGACTGTTCAGGCTGCTGATATAAAGTTGTTCTTAAAGAAAGTGTTGACATTTTCAGTGAAGGCGGGTAGAGACTCACCACACAACAGACACTGATGACTGCACAAGCACGTTATGTGAGCAAAACCAAAAACAGCCGTTCTATTTTTACTGAATAGAAACCTGTTAGAGTCCTGAACAGAATAAAAGCTGTAAGTGAGGAGAAAATGGTTACACTGATTCCTGATTCATATTCTTCCATCATCTCTCTTTCATAAGATGCCCTACAAGTCCTGCAATTTAAGTATGTGCCGGACTAGAAGAGAGAAATGGGTTTGTGGATAAATTGGAGTCCTAGTTTGAACCTTCTTAGAGTAGGAGGGCAGAGGGTAGGTACTAAGTCTCTTCATAAATAATTGTTAAACAAGTTGATGCTCATTCTGTTCAGACATTTGACGATTATTTAACATAATTGCGTCCAGACTCCTCTTTTGTAAGCTTCTCACGGTTCTTATGAATATTAAACATCAGCAGCCTTAGTAGGACTTGTGATCTTCACTGTGGAAACAGCATGTTCACTGAAACACTAGACATATATATGTGCTTTGGAGGAGGATCTGTAGTTGTGAACTCCAGTGTTTGCCCAGCTACCTGTACATTTCTGTGTTGTAATTTTTGGAATAGACTAAACTTTTACATTCACTGGCACTGAAAGAAACCAGACGTTGCTTATAGTGTGCAACAGTCTGAACCATAAGACCATAAAAATATTCCTGTGTTCCTTAAATATCATTTAAAGAGTGACAGGTGGAACCTGTATGGATTTGGATCCACGTTTTAAATGGTCATTTGGGTCCTGGGTCTGTTAAACATTGTGCAATACCAGAATGGATCAGAGAAGACCCGGCCGTGATCTTAATGCTAGATGCAACAAAACTGCAAAGCCGATTCTAAACAAGTCGCATTTGTCCTCCATCACCACGACAGCAAGTGGACTTTTAAGCTGAAATAATGATGTGGATTTAATGTGTATTTTACCAACTTTCTTGGCCAAGAGGATTGATCATATGTGTCACGGCCAGGCACAGGTGAGACTCCTTCTACCGATACATTAAGACTACAAAGTCTTGTTATGCCAACTTGTAAAATTTAATAGCAATCCGCTGTGAAATAGGTTCTGATTGGGTCTGTGTCTCACAGACAGGTTCAGGTCAGACATTTCTCATTTCTGTATGGGTCCAGGTCCCAGTTTTGGTTCTGACATAGATTTTGTACCTGTGGTTTGCTGGAGGAAAGCCAGAAGAAGAACATGCGGTGTCATGTAGACTACGCTTTTCCATTATGCTTTAAAGAATGTAGTGGACTCTTGTCCAGTCCCCGTATGGTATGGATAGGCATTGGAACCTCATCACATGAAATTGTATATGTGTACAAAAGAGGGTTGGTTTCCTTTGTTCAGTGCAGATTCTGGGGTTGTACTCCAGCCTGATTAGATTTCAACTTCAATATTAACTTCATCCAAAAGAATCTTCCATTTTAAAGAGAATGCAAAATATAAGAATCAGCTGTCTCCAACCTAAACCAGCAACCAAAGTCTTTATTTTCTCTCTTCTTCGTAGAAGTGTGTGTTCTGCCACGGCCAGAATGCCAGTCAGAACCGCGGCGCCTGTATACAGTGCTCATACGAGAACTGCGCCACCTCCTTCCATGTCACCTGTGCCCAAATCGCTGGAGTAGTCATGATGCCGGCCGACTGGCCCTACGTGGTGTCCGTCACTTGCCACAAGCATAAAAGGGCCACTCCAAAGGTAAGTACAGAGAAATATTGGTAACACTTTCTATGAAGGTCATCGCTATAATGACTTATGCACATATTTATGACACGATTATAATGCGTCCATAAGACATTATAACAGTTGTTATAAACACTTACAAATATGCATTAGGCGCTATAGCAAAGTTCATAATGTATTATGACCTTTTGATTTAATGTTTTATAACTAATAGTAATACCAGTTTATATCAGTGTGCGGCAAGAATCTCTGACCATGTTCCATAACACATTATAACCACCGACTCTGCCTCGTTATGAATAAACTTTAGTCACCATTTACAATTAGTGATATAAAATGGAATAATAGCTTATAGTAATGTTTAAAGTTATATAGCATGTCTTTGTTTGCTTTAAGTAAAGTGTTAAAATATCTATCCCTGTATAATATATTACAGGTGGACATAATACCATATGAACTAATTATAAGACCTTATAACACGTAATTGTTTGCTTTAAGTAAAGTGACACACATTTTGCGCAGGAAAACAACTTTTATTTATGTTTCTTCGCTTTATGAACAATCTGTGTGAATTTTGAACATTTTGCAGTATACCACAAAAACACAACATAAAAGAAAACTCATTGTCAGGGTGGTGGGAGATCGCTCAAGAGAAGACCTGTTACCAACCATTTAACATCATGTAAGAAGAGGCTCAGATGTTATCACAGATGAATGGCAAGCCTATGGACAGACCCTAACAACAGTGTGGGGATTTGTAACATTCAATATTTTCAGATATGACAAGAGGTTTGGTCATAGTATAGCTTCTCAGTTACTCAGGAACCACAGAAAGGTTCCCTTCACAGAGTACATGCATGTATTTTAGAGACTGTCCCTACATGAATATCTCAGTTTTACAACTGAATTCCAATAACACCACTCATGTTTTGTGTTAATGCAAGCGTGAGCCACTCCTCTTATTTAGGTTTATGTAATTTGGCTTTTGATCTTATCAAGACCCCCTTCGAATGAATGAAAAGTTAACCTCTTAGTATTTTTCTGAAGAAATAGAAACATCTGTTTGATTGCTACATGGCCATGGTTGAACACACACAAACTGTAGTGAGGCTTGATCCTGTTTGAGTCTCAAATTCTCTGTCCGGGTGTTTCTCCCTCCAGTCTCGGACAGCGCCCAAAGTCCCACAGAGCCTGAACCTTGGCCAGAGAGGGATTGGCCGCAACAGTGATGGCTGGTACCACCACTGTACCATCATCGGCATGGCAACGCAGACTTTCTATGAGGTCAACTTTGAAGATGGCTCATATTGTGACAACCTGCACCCAGAAAACATACTAGTGAGTGTTCTTACAGCTTAGTTAGACGCCTACCTGCAGACAATTTATAGAGATAACAAATTGAATTCTCTTTTTTAAAGCCAGGAGGAAATATCCTAGCAACTGGTATAGACATGGTAGTTGGAGCATCTTAATAAATGAAAATATGACTAAATGTGATTTTAACCTTTAAAACTCACTGCCACATGTTTGCAACAAACCTCATATAACATTACATCCTCAAAAGGATTAAATTCACTCATGATGAAGAGGTTGAACTAAATAAAAATAATATGCTAGAGTTATATGAAGTAATCTGATGTTGAAAAATAATAAACCTTATCATGCAATCAGGAAATTTTAAATGTATCTTTGTATTCCTTGTGAATCAGGAGTTAATCAGCGTTAGTGTTTAGTAAAATGCCACAGTCTTTTCCTTTGTCATCACCTTTGTCTACATTCTGTTTCTTACCCCCTTCAGAGTCATGACTGCCTGCGTACCGGTCCTCCTGAGGTGGGGGAGTTGCTTGTGGTCCACATGCCCACAGGTCAGGTCCTCAGCGCTTCCTTTGTCAGACAGCACACCCACAAGTTCTACCAGGTGAGGGAAAAACACAGCTTTCAGATATTAGTTGCTCTCATTTACAGTCAAACCTGCTAAAATATGTGTCAAAACTCCACAGAATCGTGTGTGTGGCGGGTCACTTTAGCTCTCTAAATCTCGGAACAGGCTAGCTAAATCTCTGTAGGTAAAATGACATCACATTATAGTTTTTTGAATCACACAATTGATTAGTAAACATATCTTCTCTTTTTTTTAAAGAATAGAAAATAATCACATTCCTGAGTAACTGCTGTTCAAAATTCTTGAAGAAGTGTTTGTTATTCCCAGCTGTAGTGTATATAAATGTATGGACCTTGCCAAGTCAAATTTAATTGTAAGAAGCTTAAAATACTCATTCTAAATACAGTTTTACTAAGATGTGGTGCAAAAAAACAGTGTCAGGCAAGTACTCTGTGAGCAACGGCATAATTTACATATTGTTTTGCCACCCTCTGGTTTGGTTCCTTGATGTCGCATTTATCAATGTAGATTATGTAGGAGCATTTTTTGATAAAGTGTGACATTCAAACATCAAGTGGAGAGCTTTAGCATCACTGGTGCATGCTGGGGAATTTATGGCGCAAATATGCAGAGTGCTTACAAAGTGGAAAATGCAGACTTGAAGATGATGATTCTGGGACTGGTGTCAAGGGAGGCAATCTTGAAAGGTACTTACATACATAGATTTAGGAATGCATTAGCAGACAAGGTTAAGTGAGGCTGTTGAACTTAGATCTTGCCGTGACTGTTTTGTGAGCACATCTATTAGTGTCTTTCTGACACATGCACACACTCAGAAAACAAGGATAGAGTTTATGGGAGACTGTATCATAACCCAAATATCACTTGCTGAACAAGCCTGTCGAACCCTGTCTGGCTCATGCAGACAGACTTAAATCCAATGTGTAAAATATTGAATTGAACCAGCTGTCCTTCAGTGACACGAAGGGAGCAGGGACAGGACTCAGTGTGAGAAGAGGGGCACTGTTAACAATGAATTTAAAACAAGCCTCCAGCTAGTGACTGTGTCAAGGCCACAACCCCAACCTTTTTTTTTTTAAGGTTTAAAAACACTTAGCTGAGGCTCTCATTCAGTTAGTGAGCAGCTTTGGGGTTCAGTGTCGTGGTCAAGGACATTTTGACAGAACACATGGTTGTTGATGGAACCATTTGTAATGTCTGAGATCCCATCTGTGACTTTCTGGGTACAAGTTTTTATTTTTTGCTCACTAAGCCACTGTGCTACTATTTTCTCCACTACCCACTAGAGCAACCGATGTGGTATCCTGCTGATGTAGCCTTTAGTAATTGTTGTTGGTCAAGTTAAGTGAGATTTTAAATTTTTTTACTCTTCTCCATGTGTGTCCAACTGTGCTCTCTACAAACCAGTTGGAAATGTTACTTGATTGATCCAAAATATAATTTTGTCCGCCTAGGTTGAGTTTCATGACCACAGTCAGCTGATGCTAAAACAGTCAGAGATCTATCAGCTCGACCAGGAACTGCCCAAAAGGGTCCGAACCAGACTGGTGAGTATATTACGGAAATCCTGCTGTATACTGTGCACGCACGTGTGTGCACACACACACACACACGCACACACGCACACACACCATACTTAGGTCACTCAGTCTTGTTGTAATAATAACTAAGAGGAAGAACTTCAGTTCTGCACATATTGGCTTAGTTTACACAATAGAATTTAGAATTGGTTACCAGGGGCAAATGATAAGAAAGGTCAGCCCAACAATAGCTTGTAATTTTCAATAAAATGACACTAAAGTAGTTGCAGATATAACAAACTATTTATTCAAGCAAACAACCAACGCTTTGCAGCCCACCGTGGGATCAAGGCCTGTGTGTGGGCCAACACATGTAGGCTGTTAGTTTTAACAAATATCTGTTTTATCTGGTAAGGAAGTATGCTATGATAGATTCATGGAAAGCTTCTCTGACATTTAAGAAGTATTCGTGTCAGAAGAAGACGGGGTTGATCCTAATCAGTTGTGAAGACACTTTGCACACAATGGATTATATCCCTAAATCTTACTACACTGAATGATTTAGTAAGACGGATCATTCTTTCTTATCTTGCAGGAATTCATGCAATCTGACATAAACGGGTATTAATAAGTACATTATTCAAACAAACATCAAGGGCGAAAAAAACACTAATAAAATAAGAAGGGAGGTTCTTAGATGCAAAGAAGCTACTGGCGTTAACTGTGTAACCAAGCTGAAGGTGAGTTTACTTAATTAGAAAATCATTAACCTGTTCTGAGCGATGGACAGCAACAGTAATTTGACCTCCCATTGGCTTTTGGCTAGAGCTGCAACGAATAATTGAAAAGTCGATTAGTTGTCAACAATTAAATTAACTGTAGACTTTTGATTATCGATTAACCGGATTGAGTCATTTTTTTAAGAAGAAATCTCTGATTCCAGCTTCTTAAATGTGAATGTTCTCTGGTTTCATTACTCCTCTATGACAGTAAACTGAATTTCCTTTGGGTTGTGGACAAAACAAGACATTTGTGGACATCATCTTGGGCTTTAGGAAACACAGATCAATGTTGTTCTCAATTTTCTGACATTTTATAGGCTAAACAACTAATCGATTAATCGAGAAAATAATCAACAGAATAATCAACAATGAAAATAATGTAATAATAATGTTTCAGCCCTACTTATGGCGAGATCCACTGGGAATGAAACGAGAAATTGGGTTGTAAATGTAAAATATGCCATTGTTTCTGATCAACTATTTGTTCAAAATGCAAATATTAATAATTAATAATAACACTCTCAAGTCAGACAGTAAATACTAATAATGTACTATATAGCAAATAGGAAGTGATTTTGGACACAGCCAGACACCCCTGATAATCCCCACGCGTCCTCAGTCTAAGTCTGTACCTGTCTGTTTCCAGGCCATTCCTGTCCCAACGGAGGTATTTTCTTCAGGAGATGAAGCCCAAGCAGCCAAACGCCGCTGCCTGACCTCAGGCTTAGGCCCTTCCGCTCAAACCCCCATGGAGACTGCCAGTAAGCCCGTCTGCCCCCTTACTACAGCCCCGGTAGCAGCACCAGCAGCAAAACATCACAGTGTTAGTACACCGCTGACCTCACAACCTCTGCCCCAGGCCACCACGACCCCACAGGAGGCCCCGGCCACAACCAGTGGCATTCAGATGGTCACTGAGATCCCAATGGACACAAGTGCCGACCTCACCAACGTTCTAATGGCGTCAACCGTGGCCTCAGACCCCACGCTGATTCCACAGACAACCCCTTTTCAGTCATTGAACTCTGACCCCCTCCTGTCTGCCGTTTCCCCTCCCCAGCCGCCACAGCACATGTCCGACAGCTACATGCCGAGCAGTGGCTACGTTTCCTACATGGAGACCCTTCTCCATTCACATTTCCCTCAGGACGATGGACCCGGACCCCTGTATTAAAAACCAACTCCACTATATTATTATTATTCCTTGGCCAGTGGAGGCTGAGCCAATAGGAAGTAAGCTAATGGAGGTGGATTCTACTGAGTGCTGTATTAATGGACAAAAAAACATTTCCTTCATCGGCTCTGAGAGCTCAGGGCGGGAAAAGGAACAGACACAGACACACAAGCACTCTTTTAATGCATGTTACTTTTCTATTTTTGAGTTAATGTATTTGCAGTGGTGCTTTAGCCTACTCTGAAGCAGCAGCTAAAAAGGACGAGGGTTTTTTAATTTGTAAAATTATTATGTTGTTTTTTTTGGGTGGGGGGTTTTGGCCTTTTTGCTCTTTCTTGTTTTTGTTCAGCTGCTGTGCTTTTCTCCTTCATCGTAATAGAAATACGTCTCTGGGTGGCATCAACTCCATACCTCGTTGCATTAATTCAATGACAGCACACTCCCTTTTTCTTTGTACAGGAAGCTAATTACAATGACTGCCTCTCAGCATTGAGGCCCTGTTTCACTTATTGTTTCTTTTTTAAATAAAATAACCAGCAACAAAATTCTATTTTTCAATCCAGCCACTCTTGGCTTTGAACTGGTGAAACTAAAGACTCAAGTAATAATGTCACATTGTCCATCTACAGGATAATTTCAGTAAGGTGTTTATTATCAGATTGCAAGAGGTAAATGGGGAGATGGGGTAAAAAAAATAATGTATTGTGGGGGGAATCCAGTATTTAAATGTCTTAGTCAAATATTGAAATAATTATTTGTAATAGAAGAAACCTGTTGAATGCAACACTAGTAGATGTGTCTGCAGGATGCATTGAATTTTTGTGAAGATGTGTCACAGTAGTTGACAGGTGAGACCTTTATGTATTGACGTCACTCATATGGTCATTTTTGGCGGCTCCACTTTTCACACCCAAAACTATCTCAGGGTTCCTACATGTGGAAAATAAATTCCGTTTTAACATCCAAGTCTTCACACCGTTAAGGAAATACAGAACAGCCCAGAAAACTGCCTCAAAATATTCCTCAGTCATGATTGGCGCGTGAATATGTTGCTTATATTGTCATTTTTGCTCCTGTTAACAGTTTGTCTGCTACTCTTTACTTTCACATATTTCTCCTATTGACACATGAAGTGGTCAAATGTATGAAGTCCCAAAGTCTCTTAAAAGGATGAAAGTCTGGAAAATGTCTGATATTTGGAAATAGAAAAATACGTAGGAACCCTAAAATCTGGAAATATTTTGTACCATTCTTGGTTTCAAGTGTGTATGAATCAATATTGTATATTAATAACGTGTTTTTTCTATCAATGTATCCTTTCTATGTTAATTTTCTGAATTGGATTCACAAGCTTGGCAAATCTAAAATATTAATAATTTTATTTTGACAGATTGCCACAGGTTACTCCGTTTTACTACTCAGTTTGTACTGGTACATCTTTTTTTTTTTTTCCCAGATGTGGTCATTTTTTGCTACATAGGTGCTACAGAAACATTAAACTACTGATGGACTGAGTTTCCCCAACACTGTCACCTTGTACATACCGCAGGCCTTGTGTATTGTGAATCAAATTTGTACACATACCTTTCTTTTCCTTCCCCCACCCTGAAATTTGGAGCACACCTGTGATATCCGTCATGAAAATCTTGTTTCATAGGGATTAAAGTGGGTTGCTAGTCGCCAACTCTTCTTCGTTTTGTGTGTTCAGTAGCCCAGAGATTCAAGAAGTAGTTTCTGGGTAACAATCCTCGTACTAACTATGGAAAATGAATGGAAAGGCCAGACTATTTCTTGGCCAGGCGTAGTGATTTCCCGGAGACGAGTCACTGTGAGGTTGTCAGGCAATAAGCTAAGTTTTTTTGTTTTTTTTAACCTCTGGACAGGGCCAGGCGAGCTGTTCTCTCCTGCTTTCAGTCTTCATGCTAAGCTGTCTGATTCCTGCCTGTAGTGTCTCTCAGGTCTGTGTGGTATTTGTAATCCAAGTACTGCTGTCTCCTACATCATTTAGTTTTCTGGGAAACACATTCTCCTTCGGACGTGTTTAATGTGAACACACTCGAGGCCTTTCAAAAAATTCAAGTTAACAAGGCTTCCTTTCCCAGATTTGCTCAAGGATCTTGGATCTTGAATGAATAACATTAGTCTCACGTTGACACAAATTTTGGACATTTGTGTCAGTGAACAGCATTGTTAAACCCCCTCAAAATGTTTAAATCCAGATGAGAGGAATTAGTTGTCATGACGTTTTGTAATTTAGAAATGGAACTTATCAGAGCTGATTTTAAGTCTTATGGTCTAAGTTGGAGGTGAAAACGCATTTAAAAAATTATTACAATTGCCTGGAATATAACACATGAGATGCTGAAGTCTAAATACAGATGTTCTCAGAAGTGTTCATATGAAGTCTTGTCAATATTCTCACTTTAACCATCCAAACCCTTACCCAACCAGCTCTAATACATAATTTTGCATCTTAAAGAAAATATTACCAGCATGACATTTACTTTACAATGTTGCTTTTCCCTTAAGGGAAAATTATATTTTTTCTATGTATTCATTTAGTAATGGTTAAATTTAATTAAGGCCACCAGGGTTGCCGCTGGTCTGTGGTGTGTAATCGCCTTTCTCCGACATGATCCTCGGCCTCCTACACAGACGAAGAGATTTTTAAGTGTATTTTCAATAATTGGCAGTGCAAACAGCAGCACTGCTGTTTATTCCTCGCTGCAGCGACTCTTTGGCAGGAATTCTGGATTTGCACATTAAGCACACAGCAGGGAAGTATGTTTTTTCCTCTTCCTTGCTGGGCTTGTCACACAAGTTATTTTAAGATGTTATAATTAGCAGGAAACACCACCCAGACCAGCTGAAACTCCCTGCAAATAAATGCCACATTTTATATTTTTGGAAACGGAATAACTTACTCTGAAGGGACTATACTATTTTCATAGGACTGCGGATGCGAGGTAAATTATTTATGCATAGGGAAAGTGCTTTCTTTCTTTTTCTTTTCATTTTGAACCAGCACACATGGGAAGGTTGAAAAATATACTATTCCAAACCGTGCATAAATGGAAATGCTTGAACATGTACAAAACAAGCAGTAAATACAACATTGGCATATCACCTTTTTAAGTGATACGGTAAACTTGTTAGCAAACAGTTGCTGATTTACACATTGAGCAGATGTAGATCAACTTTGACATTCATCTGTACTGGTGTTTCTGGGCACCTGATGAATTTAAGTCAATTTGCTCTTTTTAGCTCTGTTTGTGGTCTCCACTAACTCCTCAGGAAAATATCTGGCCCATAAGCTGCTAAATGTTCATGCTAAAAGGCTCAGTTAAAAGTCTTCCTCCAAGCCGTTAAGGAGCAAGGCACACATCCTGGAGAAAGGGAGATTTTGCCTTTTAAGGTACACTTTCTCTTATTACAAGCTGTGTCAATCACCTGGTTAGACGTGCACAATTATCTGTTTTACTTTTTGTAAAGAGTCTAAACACTCCATTCTAGGCAACAACAAGTGGGGTGACAACAAATTGAAGCTATCAAAGCACATCTTTATAGCCAAATACACAATATCCAGTAACCTTAAGACATATATTAGCTTAAGGAAATGTTAAGAAATCAGTTCAGACTGTTAACATACTTACTTGATTTACTTAAAATTTAGAGCAAGGACCACTAATGAAACTGTGTGTCCCAAATTAGCAAACATGCTGCTGAGAAATAGTTTGGTGTCATTACACACAATGGTGAGCCATACTTTGTACAAATACCATACACACTTCATTTCTTCATATAAGAAAAGTCCTTGTTACTTCATGATTATTTTCCCTGCATCCAGGTCAGCATGTTACGTTCTCTTTATACGGTTAATTAAACATAACATATTAGTCAATACATAGTCATACAAGCCATTTCTCTGGCTCTCTTTGGCTTTCAGCTTTGGGAGTCTAGGTCATGGGCCCTTGGAAAGTGGAGTTTCAGTTTACCAAGTTAGTGACAGCTGTAAATTAATAAACTGGCTCCCTTTGTTCATCCTGAGTCCTGCAGCGGGATGTGATTTCAGCCCACCTCCTGGGATGTGGGGGGATCAGATTAGTTGGCTCCAAGCAGGCCTGTTGTGGATGGAGATTTTCCATTAGTGACCCCGAGTCCTGCAAAGGTCATGGGACATCAGAGGTTCCTGGGGGGGAAGGTTTACCTCTGAGTCATAAACAAGCTCTGTGAGGAGCCAGAGGCACTTCCTATTATCAATGGCGATACAAAATCTTTATCAAAATCTGCGTTGATGCTACATTCCTCATAGCGGAAGAGCAATCTAAACATGCACTATGACACACCCATAACAGAAACTTGTATACTACTGGTACAAAACACCCTTGCTCTTTGATTGACACCAAAACTTGTTTTTCCCATCATTGCAGCTGCCAGAAAGGCAAATGACGTCACATTGTCCACGTCTGCCACAGGATAAAAATACACCACTGACCAACACAATGGGATCACTAGCAGCTGTTTTTAACAGTATCAGTGTTTTCTCCCTTCATGTCCTGATACTAACAGGATTCACTTTGATTCTTCAGTGTTAAGAGCTTCTAAATTTGGGAGAAGCCCAACGAGAAAAGATTGAAGTGGAGAGAGAGAGAAGGTCACTGAAAGAACAAGAAATCTGTGTCTTATGGACAAATCGTTAATGCTCTCATCCACACACACACAGACACACACTACTAGCTGTGCATATGGCAAGGCTGCATTGCCCTCGCTGGATCAGGGCTGGCCATTAACATTCTGAAGTGCCCGCTGTGTCTTTGCAGAGGAACTGGGGATGTGCCAGCTTGGCAATTACTTTAACAACTCCAGAGTTTGATTTCTTTATTCAGTTGAACCCAGCCAAGGGTAAAACTAAGGAGAAACGTGAGGAAGAGGACTCCAAAAGGAAAAAGTTTAGCCTTACCCAACTGTAGTTTAGTTGGGAAAGGAACAGGCAACTTGTGGCATTTTAATAATATCTTAATGATATCTGGCAATATAACAAAGAGAGTATTGCAACAGCATGTATCCTTGTGCCTCTGGAGACCACACACATCTGTAAGTTCAAAGTTCGTGACAGCCAGCGAGAGAGTTTGCCTCCACCAAAATGTCCTTGAGGACGACACTGAAACAGCTAACCTGTTGGATGACTATCAGACAGCTGAATGGCTCACATGGAAATGGAAATCAGTGAATGCTGTGGGATCTAATTGCAGATGGAAGTGGCAATTATGTTGACAAGCTGGTTGATATGACAGGCTCCATTATAGCCTTAAGCTTTTATTACATTTCTGCCTGCTAAATCATTTCACTGAAGCAGTATTACCATAATGACTTAGTGGAGCTCAGTCTGTCAACACTGTCCCTTGTTTCAAGGGGACTGGACTGAGACGTGGCTGATCTCAATGAACTTCTCTAGACACGGAGGGCTTTCAAGTGACGTAACTGCATTTAGTAACATTCTCTGGTATTGGATATGAACTCTCAGGCGACACTGGAAGTGAAAAGCATTTGAAAACTGGATTTTGAGTGTTCCCCTGTTGTTTGTGCCTAGTTAGCTCCATTGCTGCACTGTCATTGACACAGCTGGTTTGTATGTTAGCTCATTTATAAAGTAGAGATGTTAGAAGAGTAAAGCATATTTATTTTTCATGCTGAGGGTGGGACATCTGCTGGTAACTGCTCAAGCCACTTCCAATACTTTTCACCAATAAGACATGTTGGTGAGGTGATGACACCTAACGTGACTATCGTGGTGTGAATGTTTCACTGAGACGGGGTTGTGTCAGCTGGAAGTGCAATTTATATTGTAGTGGTACTTGAATGTGAACAAAGAAAGCCAGTTTGCCACTGATAAATGATTGAAATGCTTTATATTTAATTTATAGTCTAGTGGTTGGAAAAGTTGCACAAGATCGTGGATCTTTTTTTCCTGTTGTCTGGATGCTAATTATTTTGTACAAGACAAAAACAACCATGTTTTTCAAGACCTAGACAGAATTTGAACCAAACCCTTGGTGTTAACCAAACTTGCTTCTGACTTGGTAGTTCAGATAACAGCTTAATCTTAACAGCTCTAAATTACTTTTGCTATTTTGCCAGCGTGAACATGTTTCAGACCCACTACACCGCTTCTGTTTCTGCCCAGAATGCAGTTTTGAATTTTTGTGTTTCTGGAGAGTTTTTTATCCCTCAACTGATTCATTAGTGTGAACTGTCTGCAGATAACTCCCATACCAGCGCTGAAGGTACTGTAGCCTAGTGAGAGAGCATCCAGCAGATAGGATTGAAATCACAAAAGCACAAAGGAAGTCCAACTCAACACAATGCACCTTAAACACACAAAAAACAAGTGATGGAGTGAGTGATGGATTCCTATGGATTAGTTAGGCTTTTTAGAGGAAGTGAACCATAAACGGTCGCTCAGATGAAGTGAGCAGTTGGCTCAGGGATTATCAGACAACCGAAAGTAATAGATATGCAAGTGGATACCACACACATCATTCTGTATGCATTCATTGTCTGTGTATGTGTCATTCGTCACTGTTTGTTTTCAAATATGGAAGGTTTCCTTTATTCTGGAAGGAAACTTTTTGTTACAAATGTCCTGATGTGGCGATGCAGCTCTTTTGCTCTGCTGCTGTTTTT